TGGGGATATGCAGTGAGATGGGGGGGGGGTCATTCCAAGGTTTGGCGGCATTCCAGGCTGTCTGGCTCTGATTGTAACTGCCTCCTGTGGCCCCCCCACCACCTCCTCTCTCTTACCTCCAGACGGGCTGGACCCCACAGTTGCCGTCTTGCTCCCTGATCCAAACTTTCAGAACTTTAGTGAGTCACCATGAGGATGCTTGCAGCTGGCTGAAACAAAAAGGGTAGAAGATTGCGTTTCGGTTTCTTAACAAAAAGGAAAGCCAGATTCCGTGGAACGGAGAGTCTTTCCGCTAAGGAAACTTCGAGATGGCGCTTTGAGACATTTTTCAGCCTCGATGGAAGCGGAAAGTGACTGGAAACATTTCTTGTGGGACAATGGGGGCGGGAATCAAATTCCAATGATGACCACTCCCTTAAATTCACAGTCCTGAGTCTGGCTTAACATCTGCATGCGGCAGAAACCAGGAGGGATGCTTCTTCTGCTTTTGCAACACATTTCTTCTGGAATAATGTTTGCTTTAGGATGGTTTGGATGATTACAACATGTTATATATTAACCTTTTTTTTTTAATTTTTTTTATTGAATTAATTTTTTTTTTTTAAGTACCTGTATGGATGAAAGAGAAGTGAAGTAACAAGAGCAGAAACGAGGTTATGGCAATAAAAACGGCAAATACATTTTAATCAACACTGAAACAGATTTGTAACCGTTGAGGCATACACAGATGATTATTTATGACACACCAAAATCACATATGTACATATGACAGTATTTACACACGGTGTCTCCTTGAAGGACAAATAACAAAAATACTTTGTTCATTTTCACCAGTCTGCATTTTCTTTCTTTTTCTGAAGGGAAAACAGAGAGGAAACATCGTGCTATTTACAAAAGGACAACAACGTGAACACGCACACGCACACACACACACACACTCGCACACACACGCATACACCCGCACAAGTTAAATAATGCTGGTCACTGTAATACAGCATCAATGGCAATAATGACAATATTAAAGATTCATCTTTTTACCACCCTCCAAAGAGCACTTTCACTTTCTTCTTCACATCTTGCACTCAGATTGGTACAGAAAATGTGGAGCTGTACAATCAAGAAAATCACTTTTTCAAAACAGAGACTAAATCACAATGGAGGAAGAAAAAAAATTTTTTCCACATGACCTGACGAGAATTGTCCTTAAAATCAAAGCATCATCTTTTTATTTATTATTATTTACTATTAAGCTAGATGTTTAACGTTATACAAACCTAACTGCAATGAATTTTTTTAAATTTATTTTTTAAAATATTTTCTTTGTTGTTGTATATATGTTGCTCCATGTACAGCACTTTGTATGCAACAATGGCTGTTTGAAAGTGCTCTATAAATACAGTTGAGTTGAGTTGAGAAATTGGGACATTGTAAATAAATAAAAGCAGAACTCAATGTTTTGCAAATCATGTCCAACCTATATTTAATTGGATATAATGCAACAAGATATTTAATGTTCAAACTGATCAACCTTTTTGTTTTGAGCAAATAATCATGACCTTAGAATTCATGGCTGCAAAACGTTCCACAAAAAAAAACTAACAAAAAAAACAACTGGGACAGATGTCAAAAAAAAAGGAATGCTCATCAACACTTGTTTGGAACATCCCACCGGTGAACAGGCGAATAAGGTGAACATGGTGGATGCCATGTTTGGGTATCAAAGGAGCTTCCCTGAATTCCTCAGTCATTCACAAGCAAAAATGGGGCGAGCCTCACCTCTTTGTTAACAATTGAGTGAGAAAATCGTCCTCTGAAAATTCCTTGCAATGTCCAATTGCAAGGAATTCAAAGTTCATGATTATTTACTAAAAGCAATAAAGTTTGTCAGTTTGAACATGATACAGTATACCTTGTATTTGGAGAGCATTCACTTCCATATAGGTTGAACCTGATTTGCACGTGGTCGCATTGTTTTTATTTATGTTTAGCACAAACTTCATGGAACAAGGTTTGTGCAAAAAAAAAAAAAAGAATGCATATCTTCACCTAAATAAGACTGGCCTTTGTCAAAAATAATAAGCACAAAGAATTCTGTAAAAAAATTAAATTAAATTTTAACAAACCCCACACATTAATTTTACTGCTGCTGAATGTTGCATGAGCTTATTTCACTGAGTTGATTTTGCTCTGAAGATGACAAATGTCACAGGTGTCCAGGGCCATCAAGAACTTAATGTTGCAACACAGAAATGGCTTGAAATGATGATTTCAGTGAACTCTCCTGAGAACATGACAGCAGTACAGAAAAAAAAGAAAAAAAAGACCAAAAAAAGAAAATCACGAGTGCTTCCGGAATGGAAAACTGAAAAAAAGTGCATAGAATTATTGTGAAAACATGAGTTGCGAAACTCATTTTGACCGGCAGTCGGCGCTCAACCCATACACTCTTCAATGTGTCATCATACAGCTACCAGATAACAGAATCAGTACAGAGAATTTACAAACGACAGAAACATCTCAAGTAGGTGATTTTGAAAGGGGGAGGAAATAAATATCGTTCTGTTAGGAAAATATTTTCAAGAGTTTCAGTAAGGGGGGGGAGAAAAATATGAAGGTGTATTAAGGACACGCTGAAAGGAAAAAATATATATATACTTGGAGATTAAAGTAGGAAATATACCCCCCCTTCAGAAATTTAATTACAAGAGAATAAGTCTTCAGTTTATTCTTGAATTAACTGTCATTGTAAGAGAATTAATACTGTATAACGGTGTTTATTTTATTTATTTATTTTTTCAAGAAAAAAAAATCTTTTTTTTTTGTTCCACAATAAAAGTTGTATTTGTTCTAGTATACAGTTACGTCAATATCACATGAATTTCGTTTTGGAGTAAAATCATATTTTCAAGATGGAAAAAAAAACATAATATGAGGGGGAAAAAGTTGGATTGTTTCAAGAATTTTTGGCCCTGACAAAGTGAGAATAAAGCGGTATAGTTTCAATTTCTTTTTGTCCCACTACAAATGAGTCATATTATGAGAAAAAGTTGTCTGTTTTCAAGAATAAAATTGGACTTTGTCCCCTTAGCCCCCACCATCCCTCCGCCCCCCAAAAAAATCTTGAACAATATTACTGCAGGTATTCTCCTAATGTCTTCTTTTGTATTTAAAAGGGGTGTGGCCTTTGTAAATTAGCCTCCTCCCCTCACTTCAACATAGTTCCTTGGCACAAGGATGCCACAAGACATCACCAAAGCAATTATTTGATACAATGCATCCATCTATAATCCGGACAGGGCAAAAACAACAAAGAGGTGAGTTTGTCAACAACGAACGGGATAGGTTAAAAATAAAGAAATAAATAGAACAGCATCTCTTTTCTTGAAAGAATATGACTTTTCCCCCCTGACAGCATGCCATTTTGTTTTGTGGTTTTGCGTTGTTTTCCGGGTGTCCCACACAGTCCTTGGTACTAAATGCAACAAAACAAAAGCAAACATTTCACAGACAATGTTTTGACTCCTGTCACACGTCAGCACGAGGGAGGGGCAACTCACGATAAGACGATTCGATTAGTGTCAATTTACAACTTGGTCCACTCGGTAACTGATTGTCTCCAGTGTCTTCAGTGTTTTTTTTGTTTTTTGTTTTTTTTTTTTTGGATGGGCCAGTCTCATACCTCTGTTATCGTCATCGCTGCATGTCTCTGACTTCCTGTTCACACAATGGAGTCCCAGTCGAAGTCGTCCTGGATGTCGTCGCTAGCCAGCATGCGTCTTACCTGGAAGTGTCCCGGAGGCAACATGTGCTGCCGCCGCTGTTGCTGCTGCTGCTGCTGCTGGCTGTGATGGCCTGGACACGAGGCAGAGGCACAAATGTGAGTCATTTCCCATTTAATACAGAGCAGCGTTTGTCTTGAAAAATTACAAGTGATCAATATTTTTTTTTTTAAAATAACAATGCCACAGTTTGTAGTTGTGTATCATTTTTTAAAATTGTATCAACAATTTCACACATTCTAAAATGCCAAAATATATTTTCATTATCCAATTTTTTTTTGGGGGGGGCGGCTATATGACAATATCAATTACAATATTACTTAACTATATTATGTTAATGCTTAATGGGCCGGATTAAAGAATAGAACAGGTTGTACGTGACCCCTGGGTAATATTTTCCCTACCCCTTTTTTTATAGTCAGTCACCATTTGCAGAATTGAAGTTATCTTATTCCTCATAACAATGTAACACCAGCATGAAGGCCCAAACATACCTGGTATGAGTGTGATGGAGGAGTCCACCGTCATGGTGGGAGCTGTGCTGCTAATGGGGGGCATGTGGGGGTATCCAGGTGGGCCCATCAGAGATGGAACGTTCTGTCTGGAGTCCATGTACATGTTCCCTGTGGGACAATGTAGAGAAAAAGGCCAATGTCTAACACTTACTGGGCATTAGTAGACCAATTTGCACAGACACACACGTGTTGTCTTTGTTGAAGGATTTGGCGGCCATAAATTCCCATCAGTCAACACTGAGTAACGGCCGCCACTCCCTGGTGAATGTGTAACACGGGTACAATGGCACAGCAAGACGGCAAGCGTAATTCAGCTTCGTGGCCTCAACTCCTGTGAGCATCGTAAAACGAGCATGACATCCTGCCTTCTCGTCCATTGTCACACGTGGAAGAGCAGCGCTTTAATTAAGCCTGCTAGAGGCACGCTTTTCCCTTTTCAACTCCCTTCTCGATGCAATACTCGACAACAGTATGTCTCTCGTTTGAGTAACTGCATCCCACAACGAAATACAGTACATACGGTACATGCAGTAAGTACAATTGAGAGTTGCTGTCCACCGCAGATGGTCAGTTTATTTTCAAATAAACCACAAAAAAACCCTATATTTTATATATATATTATATATATATATATATACGAATACAAACTAAGCTATTACAAAGCATTTTTGAATCAATAAAAAAAGTGATCAAATCAACTCTCAAAGCAAATTCAAACTAACTGAATTTTTCTTAAAAAGTAGAAAAAAAAAAGTCAAAAAAAATTAAAAAACTAATGAAAAATCCAAAACTATTATCCATGTGGGACAGGTGCATTTTAAAACAGAGTGAATTATCTATCCAATCATTCGCTTGTCTTCATTTGGGCCACGGGTGAGATTTAGTCCACCCCTTGTTGAGTTTTGGGCGAGAGGCACGGCACACACTGGACTGGGTGCCAAAGAAGCATTCACACTCCACTGGACGATTTTGAGTGCTCACCTGTGTGACGGTCAATCACAGCAAGACAGAGTACATGTGTGTAAATGAGAGGAACCCAAGTACAAGAGTGAGTTTACAGGGAGACGAGATAAAGAAGGTGGAGGATTTCCAGTACTTGGGGTCAACTGTCCAGAGCAATGGAGAGTGTGGAAAAGAGGTGAAGAAGCGTGCACAGGCATGCTGGAACGGCTGGAGAAAAGTGTCAGGTATGATGTGCGACAGAAGACTGACCAGTTCGAAGGAGTTGACCGTGTTGATTGTGCTGGCTGGCCTTGGGTTGCATGGCGCCGTGCGGCTGAGCTGGGTGCTGCGGCGCCCTGGGCGCCGCTGGGTGTGCGACCTGAGGTTGGGAGAGGGCGGTGCCCTGTGCGGGGATGACGCCCGTGGCCGTGAAGAACTGGTTGACGGACGAACACAGGTCAGCTATCTGAGAGGCATCCAGGGACCAGTTGTTAAGCTCGGCTTGACGCATGCTCTCCTTCAGGCCTGCCTCGGACGGACAGAGAGGGAGAGAAGGTGAAGTTCGAATCTCACTTCCGTCCATCCTGTGTAGAATTTGCATATTCTGCCAGTTCTTGCCAGCCAATCGCAGGGCACACATAGACGAAAAACCATTCACATTCCCAATCACACCTCGGGACAGTTTAGAACAGTGGTCCCCAACCTTTTTTTTGTCACGGACCAGTTGCTGTTCGTGGACCGGGAAACTTTTTTTCATTGCTTTTAAATTGCCAGTTTTAAAGCACTGCTACTGACAACAAAAATAATTATAGAGTAATTCAACTTTTCAAGACCATTGATTTCAAACAGTGTGATTCTACTGCACATCAAATGTAGAGTAAAATAAAATAGCACAGTGAACTATTAAGAAATGGACCAATCAGGAATAATAAATACGCCTTATAATGTAAACAATCATGTTTTAAGTTACGATCCTACATAGGACGTTAGCATCAATGCTACTTGCAAATATGACTGATTCAAAGATGACGCCATTGATTGTGACTTTTAACGAGTGGCTGCCGGCTAGATATTAGCGACTAAACTGCTAATGTTTACATGGGCAAGACGTCGCTCTGGAAATACCGCAAGGTGAGGAAGTAGATCAATTCAAAGTTCGGTTCCATGAAGGCTTGCCGGATGGCGGGAAGGTTGTGTGAGTGGGTTCAAGTGCAACAGGAGAGGGGGGG